GCCCCTGCCTATGTTGCTGACCTCAGCCCCCATGAAGCCTGGCTGGAGCAGGCAGGAATGACTTTGAAGCTTCCCCCACCCCTAGGAAAGGGGAAGAAGCAGCAGCTGTAGACAGGGGAGCAAGGAAAAGTAGGGGAGGTGGGATTTTCACCTGCTTTAGGGATTTAAAATCCTTGGAGGTTGCCAAGAGTGGTCTTCCTGCATCGGTGGGGGTGGTGTAGGCTGGGAGCAGGAGGTGCAGCCACCCCTTCAGTGCATGTTGCTGCCCATGCACCCCAGTTTGGGAAATCCTTGATCCACCACTGCTGTGTACTATTTTTTACATAATACTTCTACCCCCGTATAAGATCTGTATAACTTTTTTTGAAGTGGGGTAAATAACAGTAAATATATTTTTGATCTTCAAAGGAAGCTAACACATCCTAAATTAGTTCAGCTGTATGGGGTCTGTACGCAGCAGAAACCTATTTACATAGTGACCGAGTTCATGGAACATGGCTGCCTCCTGAATTACCTGAGACAAAAACGTGGACGTATGAGTAGAGATGCCCTCCTGACTGTGTGCCAAGATATATGTGAAGGAATGGAGTATCTAGAGAGCAACAGCTTTATCCACAGAGATCTGGTAAAAGCATGTTGATTTATTTACTATTTTTTAAAATTATATTTGGACATTAAAAGCCAAGGGTAACAAACTATTTCTGTTATTCAGAATGTTCTCAACCCCCCAACCCTATTATTTAACTATTTCTGTTAAAATTAAATAATATTCTACTCATTGTCTGTTCTGAATTAGGATAAGAAGTTAATATCTGCATAAGGAGTGGGTCTGAAATCTGTCTGAAATGTTTGTAGTAAAGTTCATATGGTGTATTCTGTGCAAAAAATCAGTATTATAAATCACTATTCAGAATTCCATGTAGCCTAAAGAGTTTGTCTTCAATAGCACATATATTTTCACTTGAAGGGTGTGTCCAGATGATAGCACATGTGTGTTTCCCTGGGGACAAATATCAGCAGCATATAGTTGTGCTGCTGCTACTTGTCCCAGGGGAACGTCTGTTTATGCACGTAAGTTGTCCTGGGTGGGGTAGGGGAGGCTGGGGCCAGCACCTGGGCTGGCCCCAGCAGCCTTACCTGGGGTTCTGGGGGCTTCCTGGGGCTGAAGCAGTGGTGATCTGATAGCAGAGAGCCTGGTTGGCAGCTGGAGTGTGGCTCTGGCCCACCTGCTTCTAGTTTTAGGCAGCACACACTGCTGCCACATGTACTGCCCTTCTGTTTTCTAGCGCAGGTTTTTTTGACACTGGAATCTCCTGGTGTCAGAAAACACCCCCCTCTCTACAAATTAGCAGCTCAGGGAACGCCTGCAGAGGGGTCTGTGTCGCCACGTACCACATATGCATACTCGTCTGGATGCGCCCAAAGATTATTATTTATCTTGTTTCATAACAGGGATCATTCAGTGATTTATGGTAGCACAACAGTTAGTAAAAATACAGCACACAGAGTAAAAATAAATGGAATTGTGTCTTGAAAATTTTCTATATTAAATTGCACAATGGAATTTATTGCATGGTTTTAAATAAAATATAAAAGGACATTTCAGGTCATAGGAATTGATCTATCTTTCATACTGTGTTAATATGATTGGCAATCACATTAATGGTAAATTTTAACCCAAAGCATATAAGTTATGTACTCTTCTTACAGTAACAAACTGTTGTATCCTATTAAGAGTAGAACTGGATGTTTCTGTGACTTACAACTGTAAGGACCTTATTGCATGTTAATTTTAGCTGGCTCCTGGAACTCTTAACCATTGGATTGTCCATACATTAACATGTGAACTAGTTATAAATAGTCTTTAGGCAGCTTACAGTTACTCCACTCCAGCCTAGATTTATTTCTGGTCCGTGCTACCCAGCTTGTGTTGGCCTAGAGTAGCTACACATTAGTCTATACATTAGTGTGAATGCCCCACCTGCCCCCACACTCTCACATCCCCACAGGACACCAGGCAGGTAGGTGTAAGTAAGCTGGGGAGGCAGGGGTGGAGCCCGGGGGGCAGCGGGGAGCAGGGAGGGAACCCCAAGGAGCAGACTGGCAGGGGGCAGGGGGAAGCCCAGAATGGGAGTGGAGGTTGGGGGATTCTTCCCTTTCAGTCCTCAAGGCCCTTACTGGCTTGAATGTGTAACTGCTCCAAACTTGAGCTAGCACCACCACTGATCAGCATTTGAGCAGCTCAAAGTGCAACGTGTAACAAGGTCCTAAATTAGTCACAATACCACTACACTCTATCATTGCCATGAGTTAAACCTTAAATGAAAGGAAAATTGGAAATGAGTAGGTTCTGAGATGCCAAAAGATAGGCAGCAGGAACCAGAAGTTGTATCTATCTTACACTACAGTAAGCCAGGGTAGAATTGAGTCCCCAGCATTACAGCTCAGTGAATGAGAAATAGTGATGGATAGAATCTTACTGAGTTAAATGATAAAGTAAAATATTTTTGGGTGATATCTTGGACCAACTGCATAGCTGGGATAAAGTTCAGATGCATTCAAAACTTGTCTAATTTTATGCCAACTATGCAGTTGATCCAATAAAAGATATCATCCCAGAAAACCTTTGCCTCTTGCATAATTCCTGGACCATCATGTCTACAACATCACTCTAAGACTGGGTTAAATTATTTACCATAATTTCTGAGATAAATTTTGGTTTACATTCGGGTAGCTCTAACTTTGACTGACTTTGATCTGTGCTGGTATAAACAAAAGAAGAAGTGGTTGGAATAGCAGGGGACTAGCCTCTGTGATGCAAGACATGCCTTTTATTCATGTGCTTCTAAGTTTGATGTATATGAAAGAAGAGGGTACCCCATGTAGAAACACAGTGTATAGAACACAGTGTTTTTTTTCTCAGTACAAATTACAAATTGGGCTTCACAGCAAAAAATGCCAAATCATACAACTTAAGCTGAACAGAAGCCCAGTAAAACTTAGTGGGATTTCTTTTTTTTTTAGAGATGGTAGAATTTAATGTAATGTACAACTAATATAATTTCATTTTAGCTCCTCCTTATTTATATTTTTTCTCATTGTTGATATATAAAATTATTCCTTTTTTCAGGCTGCCAGAAACTGTTTAGTGAATGAATCGGGAGTGGTAAAAGTGTCTGATTTTGGAATGACAAGGTATGGCTAAGTCTGTATATGCATATACATTTTTAAAATTAAATGAACACAATATTTGTGGCTATTTTGCACTTTTTTTTTAAGTGGAAAAAGCAAAATCATATGTTTTCTATATTAAGTGTACCTGAACAGTTATATGTGGCTTTTGTAGTTCCCATTTCCTCTGAACAGAATTTATAGACTAGGCTCTATCCTCTGTCATTCACCACTTTTGAGACTACTAATGATATATGAAGTGGGTCTTGTGTATACAAGTTCTCTTTAATGCTTATGTAATTCCAGGAAAAACTATGATTGGGCAAAAAATTTTGGTGACAATAATTTTTTTTAAGTGAACATTAATGATTTCATAATGTTTTCACCTTTTTCCAGTTTCCTTATGATAAACAATTTTGCAAACAGAATCTGAAATTGTTGATACATGAGGTACAGTGGACTTCAGCTCTTGGATGGTGATATTCAGACCACAGTGCTAAGGATTATAAAAAAGAAAATTATTTATAAATATATTTATTTGTAAACAAAGGAAATGACATATGATTATGCCAGCTAGCTTACCTTCTAAGAAGGGGATGCCTGCTATATCTCCTTAGCAGGACACTGGGAGGCAGTATGTCCCAGGGAAGTACAGTTCCTCTATTTCCCTGCATTTTCTCACCAGCAACATTGGCTGCTACAAGTGGTGCCTGGTGTCTGTTGGGGAGTGGGTCACTGGAAGGAACTGGTCGGTGCACAGGCACTTCGTGCACTGTACCAGGGCTTTTCCATCCTTCTCTCCTCAACTTGCATGGCATGCGGCATTTGAACATAGTGAGAAACAGGCTTATTGAGTAAGAAATTGGTAATTTTCACTTATTTACATGTTGCGATATTAACCATTAGGTGGCAACATGAGCTCCTAAAATACAAGCATGTGTGAAATTGATGCTTTCAGAAATGGAGTCAGACTAGAATATAGCGTGTTTTGTCTGTTTCATTTTTTAGGTATGTTCTTGATGATCAGTACACAAGCTCTTCAGGTGCTAAATTTCCTGTAAAGTGGTGTCCCCCAGAAGTCTTCAACTATAGCCGATTCAGCAGCAAATCAGATGTCTGGTCATTTGGTAAGGCATTCCTTAGCACTGCAATAAAAAAATCTTCTAGGAGAGGCCCAATAACATTATTTTGCCCAGATTTATGGTAGTGTTACGCTACTGAAATCATTGAATCATTACTAATTTGTACTGAAATTAGGACTGCAAGGCTTGTTTGCTGGGTGATAAGAACACAGAACACTTGAAAAAAATACAATAACTAAAACTCCCAACAATTTTCCATTTGAATAGAAAATTCATTGTTATAAGGCCCATGCCACATATCACATATATTATGAAATTAACTAGTTAATTGCACAATAAATTTAGACTGGCCACGCATGCAAAGTAATTATCATGTAATTAACTGGTTAATTGCACAATAAATTCAGGCCGACCATATCTGCAAAGTAATTATCACACCATAAAATGTCTAGCTATAAAAAGAGCTAACCATCTACAAAGTTAGTGCTTGAAAATGTATAATAACTTTAAAGCTGGTTTCTGTAGCTTTAATTTGAACATGTGGCAGTGCCTACAGTCATAATTTTGTTAACTATCTTGACAATCTTTTCATGCCTTTCCAGGTGTTTTAATGTGGGAAGTATTCACTGAGGGTAAAATGCCCTTTGAGAAGAACACGAACTATGAAGTGGTGACGATGGTGAGCCAAGGACATCGTCTGTATCGGCCAAAATTAGCTTGTAAGAATGTGTACGAAGTGATGATGATGTGCTGGCATGAGGTATCTCTTTTATATCTCTCTTCATTTCTGTATTTTTATTCACCAAAGAGTTTGATCTAGCTGAAGGACCTGACTCCTTACTGTAAAATTCTGATAGCATTTTATTCTAAAGGCAACTAAGTCATTTCTGAGGTAGCCCTAAGGCTACCTGTCTAGCCCCTCTAGAAAGTCACAAAATACAGGAAGAACAGTGGTTTGGGAAACCAGAATGGACAGGAAATAGAAAAATAAAAGATCAAAGGTCCAGAACAAGGTGAAATTTCTATAATCCCTTAAAAGGTGTCGCCTACAAAAATCTCGTGCTTCTCTGAGCCAGTTTGTCTCCTAGATGCCAGTCTGCTTTGTCGTCTTCTTTAAGGTGAGGAAAATAGTTGAATAGTTGAATGAAAATAACTGTTGCTTCAAGCTGTACAGCAGCTCTTGCATTATAGCAGAGTTGTTCTCAACCAGGGAGCCGCAGGCCCCATCAGAGGTGTTATGGGGGCAGTGGCCAGGTAAAACTGCTCCTGCATTTGGGCCCCCTAATCAGTTTAAAGCAGGCAGCAAAGCTGCTTTGTGCTGTGTAGCTCTTTCTGATCCTTCCCCACAAATGCTCTTTTGAGGGACAGGGGCAGGTGAAACTGCGCTGTCCACATTCAGCTCCTGCCTGCCTCAGGTTGATCAAAGCCCTAATGCAGGAAGAACATGCACATGCAGCACAGCTCTCCCTGGGTGGGCCATGCAGCAGGGGGCTATTACATCACAGTTGCACAGCCCAGCTTAGAAGCACTCGGGTAAGATGAGGCAGCACTAACAGTGATTCTCAGCCAGAGGTGCTACCATGTTCAGAAAAGTGGTTGTGGGCTGCCTTGACCCTGAAAAGGTTGAGAACCACTGTTGTAACAGTTACATGTATACACAAACCCTACAGTTGTAGCAAAAGAGCTCTACTTCAATACTGCTTCACCCTGGGGTTAAAGTTGGAGAAGTCTTGCTGCATTTTTTGGCAATGGCTTCCTACTTGCGCTGGTGTAACTGTTGCAATGTAATAGTTTCTGGGTGCTCTCAAGAAGCAGCAGCTGCCCCTTGGCTTTTGCAACTGCTCAAAGTGTACACTTGCCTATGCCTGTGGTGTATCAGAAGATCCAACCAAAGAAATCAAAGAGAAGGATAACATGGCCAGATCATTTTGAGAAGATGATTATTTTGGTGGCAGTGGCATGTATGGGGATAAGAGTGAGAAGCTGGAGTGACAAGATAGGAACAGTTTGATCAGCCATATTTGTTACTTGAGTGGTAATTGGGCAAAGAACCAGATACAAGTAGGGATATAAAAGCAACACGGGAATAAATTGAATTGATTAATAGAGACAGCTGGGTAACTAAAAGTCAAATCAAGTCTAATGAAAAAACTTGAACTAGAATGTCTTACTAATGGAAGAGACCTAGAACGTAATAGGTTCTATAAAGATGACCACAAGACTTGGTAATTAATGCTAACAAATTTTAGAAATGATATTCAGTTTCAAGATTCAGGGCTCAAGAAAATCTTTAACTTAAATGTTTAGGAGCACACTTAATGGGAATGACAGATTTTCCCACTTCTGCTTAATGAGAAGTTTCTTGCACATTGCTCTGAAGGAGCCCATGGGAAGGATCCAGTCTCCAAAGAGACTGGATCCAGCCTGGAGCACAGGGGATCAGTGCCAAGGAGCTCAGTCCAGTGTTTTCCCTTCCCTGCTCTGCACCATGCTACTGATCCCCCTCCATACCTGGTCTTTCTCTCTCCTCCCTTATAGTGGGCACTGTTACCAGAAATAAGCTCTCTCCTTCCCTCTGTCCTATTGCACATATTGTTTACCTGGGGTAAACTCTCTTCCTCTCAGTCCCTCTCTCCCTCTGACATTGGCAGTCACCATTCCCCCTCTTCCCCCTCTCCCCCTGCTCTACCATTGGGGAGTGGTGGCCCACAGTGCAGCTGGGTCACAGGGACCCAATCCACCACCCTAACAGATTGAACATCACTGCTCTGAAACATCAGGTGCTGGCTCTCATCAAACAGGGTAGTGGACTAGATGGAACACAGGTCATATCCAGTATGGTAGTTCTTTGGTTCCTATTTTTTGGGAAAAGCATGGTGTATTATACTCAGCTTTCACAAGGTTCTGAATTTCAGATCATTGGGAAATAGACTTGTACACAATGGGATTTAAAAAAACAAACAAACAACTTTAGGAGGCATGCGTTTTTTTCCTCAAAATATTTTCATGTATTCATCTGTTTTTCTTATTTATTTGTTCATATTATTTTATCATTGAGGTAAAACAATTCTGATGTGACCAGAGTACCTGGCAATTACAACGAAGCCTTTTTTTTATTATTTCCAGAAACCAGAGGGACGCCCTACCTTTCAAGATTTGCTTCACATAATTGATGAGATAGCAGAGAGTGAAGATGCTTTCTGAAGAGGAATGGCAGAGCGAAAACAAGTCCCTGAGGCAGGAAAGAATCCACGTTCCATTCAGAAATGCAGCAATTTTTCCTTCCTTTTTAAGGGCTCAATCCTTCAAGCTGCTGAAAGAAAGTGTGGAGAGGCAGAGCATTGATAATCACTTAGCATTTGGTCAGTCTCTATGGAGGAAGAGTTCTCGCATAATATAGAGGAACATGCACAATATACTCAGCTGTAGCAGTGAGAAGGTGCAGAAACAGTGTAGGCAAGTCTCTGTGCCTTCTCTGACAAGTTGCCAGTGGGGCTGTGAACAGGTGGAAAATTGGTCTTGATAGGTGGAGGAACAGACAGCTTGTGGCCAATGCAGAGCACAGGCAATCCAATAAATGTAAATCATGTATATAGTGTTCATATTCATGAGTTTCATTTAGTCTTGCTGCTAGTCAGTAGTTGTAGCTACCTGCATACTTAAAAACTCAGTACAGGGTTACCATAAAGGGCCAGTTACTGACAGGAATGTTTCCAGTGGTTTGCCAGAAATATTATTTCTGACTGCAGTTGATGGACATTTGTGACATACACTGAAACAATGTTCTTCCTATGCCATGAACCTGTGATATCCACTTGGCTGCTGCTTCTTCATTTGTGCATAAAAAAGCATCATGATCTGCAACCCATTCTACTGGCTCACTGAAACAGTCAAAGAAATTGCTGCAGAACTGATCCATAACTTGTTTTATGCCAAAAAATGTTTTGGGGAGTTTTTGAAAGAGCTCCCAGACTCTATCCTGAGGCTAAGCATAATGAGAAACTTCAGGATACAACACAGCTGACTCATTGCACTATAGAACATTCCATTTGATTAACTGTTAAATTATATATTGTATGTAATGTAAATATAGACTGTATACATTTAATTTATATGAAATGTAAGTGTTTGGTTCTTGAATATTTTAGGACACAACAGGTTTGATCTACCGTAACTTGCACATACAACATGACACATGGCATCTGTGAATGATAACAAGATACCAGGAAGTGTGTTAACCTGGAAGGTTTTATCATTCTGTCCCTGGTCAGTTTTTCATAGACTGAAATAAGCGTAATATTTTTAATAGCAAATGCCATGTGATAGCATTTGTATAATAAATCAAATAACTGTTTGTTTGGAATCCTGAATAGTGTTTTGCCATTGATTTCATCAAATTACATTAATCTATAAGATAAGCTCCTTGTTAGTGTGACTCCATTGATTCAGTGTAGTGCACCAGTGATGAATAAAGCTAAATATATAGAGGTACATGAGTTCATTGCTTAGACAACTTCAGGTCAACCCAACTTTAAGTAGTAGGCAACCATCAATCTTCTGGATCATGGTGTATGTGTAAGTGGTTTAGTCAGGTGCCCGATGAATTTGTTTGTATGGAGTCCTGCAACCATCACACCAAGACCTTTGATGCATATGCCTAGGCAGAAGTATGGAGGAGTGGAGGCTGCCCAAGACCTACCATCCTGCCTTGAGGCCACTGAGACAGAATCCTAAAACCAGATTGAGTCCAGACATTCAGTGCCTTGATGGCTGTAGTTTCTGCCAAAGCAACAGATAAGACTACTGTTGACTGCCTAATGCCTCAGCAAGGGTGCCTTTCTGTCAGAGTTTTGTCCCTTAGCTTTTCTGCAACCAGAGAGTACTCACAAGGCAGTGGAGGGTAGGATTTGAGGCTCCCTATGCCCACCTTACTCTGGTTGCAATGTTGAGATATTTTATAGACACTACCCCAGCATGAGTAGTCCCACCACATTGCCACTGGGCCCTCCAGTTGGATGCAGCTTACGGTCATATCCAGGACCATTTAAATCAAGCAATTATAAGGGGAGCTATTCCTAACCAGTTTGCCTCATGCTTTCCACTATAAAAATTGTTGCAAGCATTTTTGAAAACCCATTGTTTTCTTCAGGTCTCCAGATTGAGCAGGGAAAAGGTCTTTAGTTTAGAAAAGCACTTTTTAATTTATTATTATTGTATGAAATTCCATTCCAATTTGACTGAGATAAATGCTAGAAACAATATTTCCTCTTCCTTGCTAGTGTTCCTCAAAAAAATATTAGACTGCGTGAAGAAATAGGTCAACGCAAATGTATGAAAGACTTGGATCCAATCCTCTTCCACCACTACAGCAGCACCAGCACTACTGCTCTTTGTACTGGGAAACCCTGAAGCGCTCCAGAGCAGCTGTAACTAGATGGGTGGTATTTAGAAGATTGAATGTAAACCACTCCTCTCTAACTGTTATCCAAAACATGGTTCCTGTATCACCTTATCCCCAGTTCTTGGAGAGGGGGTGGAGGTGGTGGGAGGGAAGGGGCAAGAGCAACCACACCAAATGAGGCTTCGTATGCAAGTCCCCAAGATCCAGCATTTGCTGCTTAATGCTGTCCTATAGCTCATGTGAGAGCACTCTGTTAAAGGTTTATTTCTCATTTCTCAAACTTATTTGAGGATGTAAAATGGTAGAACTGTTGCAACGATGCATGTTTTTGTAGTGTTGAAGTAATGGTTGTAACAGTGATGGTCAAGCAAGTATGTGAGAGGCAGGAACTATTGTGAGTCAGGAACTATTGTGGGTGGGGTTGTTTTTTTTTATTGAACCAACTGCATGGTTGGGATAGATTTAGACAAGCTTTTGGGTATCACAGTATCCTTCAGGCCTCTGGGAAAGAAGCAGACACAGCACAGCTAAGTAGCAGATGGAATAAAAGCTTGGGTATAAAACTCCATATATTAATAAAAGCAGGTCATAAAACTATCAGGTACCCAACAGACAAGAGCTGCAGCAAAACCTGAGGTCATGAGAGATCAGTGAGTATCAAGTAGATTGTAATCAGGTATAATTATAAAATATAATAAAAGGTATCATACATTCTTGCCTCTCTTACAATGATACATGCCAATTTCTTTTTAAAAAACAAGAAAAAAAATACACCAGAAAGTAGGAAGTTGTATTAAAAGGAATGGAGATTATTTGGATTGCAAATGTGAGTATGTAAAACCCAAATTTTTTTGGGAAACATCAAATTTACAGTTTGTAGTGAAATCTAATTCTGCCTTCAGGGCACGAGTACTCTGATAGTATCACATGATTTAATAAAAAATGCTTTCCATAGGATCTCTGACTCATTTACTACACTAGATGGATGCACAAAGGCAGAAATAATTCTAGTGTCTTCCACTTGAAGATGACACAGACAATCATAAATCTTCAGTCATCCACTTGAAGTTAAGAAATGGCAACTAACCTAAAATCATAGAGAAGTAGGGCTGAAAGGGACCTCAGGAGGCCATCTAATCCAATTACAGGATTATACTTGTCTAAAACATCCCTGTCAAGTATCTGTATAATTTGCTCTTTAAAACTTCCAAGGCTGGAGATTCCATTAACTCTTTGAGGAGCCTGTTCCATTCCAAATCTTAATCACCATTATTGAGAGGAAGGTCTTCCTAATACCCAACCTATTTTTTCCTTCCTGCAATTTAAGACTGTTGCTCCTTGTCTTGTCCCCTGCAGCTAGAGAAAATATTATATCACTATCGCATGTATAACTACCCTTCAGGTAATTGAAGATGGATCAGATCCCTCCCTCTTAGTCTTCTTTTTTTGAGACTTGACTGATGTTGACTCTTTCAGCCTTTCCTTATAAGTTTGTTTCCTAGATCTCTAATCATTTTGGTTACTCTGTGCTGGACAAAAATTTGTCCATGTCTGTCTTGACGTGGTGCCTAAACTGGACACTGTTCTAGGTGTTCATCACTGCTGAACAGAGCAGAAGAATTGCTTTGATTTGTAAGTGATGATCCTCTTAATACAGCCCAGTGTGCTATTCATTTTTTTCAACAAGAACACACTGGCTGCATCTGCACATGCACAGTTACTGCACAGTAACCAAAAATTATTATGCAGCATGGGCGCATGTCTACATGTGCGCACCCATACTATGCAGTAACTATGGCGACTTGTGCCCAAGTAGTTACTACACAGTAAGGCACGTGTAGATGCCTTACTGTGCAGTAACCCTGTTTGTGTGGACTGATTTGGGACTAACTCTAGTCCCAAATCAGCCCATAAACAGCGTTGCTGCAGTGTAACACCTGCACATGTAGACACCAGTGTAAAAAATTCAGGTTACAGTTCCCTACAATCCCTAGCAATTTTTATGCAACCTAGCTCATCATTCTCCAGTCTATATTTGTATGTATAATTGTTCCATCCCAAATGCAGAACTTTACACTTATCCATATTGAATTTAATTTGATTGATTTTGATGGGGGAACCATTTCTAGCCCAAAAAGGGTAAAAATGTTAATTTGGTTTGCTGGAACAGACCATCACTCCTTTGCAGTCCACTTTTTTTTGGTTTGTTTTCAATAGTTTTAAGAGAAATTGGCAAATGCCATCTTCATCATTTCTCCTGGATGTGATCCCTTAGCATTTTCCAACTTAATTCCTTCTTCACCTATCATTATAACTTAATTTCATTTGAAGACTGGGGCAAAAATGTACCTACATTACTCCATCTCAGTGGCACATGTTTGCTACTCTTTCTAATTTCACACCTTTTACAGCACAGTAATTATATTGATTTCAGTTGAATAATTCAGTTGTAAAACAAATTTGATGGTACAAGGAACAGGACTTCAGCACATAGACTCCTAATTTACACTGGTATGAGATTTATATCTAGCCTGTGAATTTTTTTTTCTTAAACAGGAAAGTAGGTGGGGTTAAATGATGCTTGTGTTGTACCATACCACGCATCAAAGCTAGGCTTTCAGTTAGAGGGGTTTTAGTGTTACTGAGGCAACAACTGAAGAACAAAGGATAACATTTTTATTTGAACTCAAGCAGACGATCAAACATGACACTTTCTACCTGTAAGTAAATTCAACCATGTATTTTGTACTTTATGTTCTATTGTGTGTAATAGCACTTTAGCTAGCAAATGAGATGTATAAACATCACTGCATAGTCCAAGTGGCCTTTTCTTGCACTTTTAGGTTTTATTTGTTAAAAACTCCTGGTGATAACTTTCCAAAGTACATCACAAAATTGCTATGATGGATTCAGCAAAGCTACTACCTTCACAAGTACAAGGATAGAGAACTCAATTGTCTGGGAACACAAGGGAATGGGAACCAAAGGCCTCTCCTTAAATTGCCTTTAGAGCATAGATGTAATACATAAGTTTTATGGTATGAAAGCTACCTTTCTGGTTATGAAGATGTTAGCTTAAGAAAGAGTTAACTTAAAGAAAAATACTAATATTCCGGTAAGCTTTATTTATGAAAGTTCAAAGTTTGGTTACAAAAATATTTTTTACAAGCAAGCTACATTATTGATTTACAAACAGGCAGTGTTTACTGCTGTTTTAGTTTGGATGAATACTAAGGGATATATGATCAGTTGATGGGGATTTTCTGTTACAAAAGAGTGAGATTTTTTTATTGATGAGTAAAGATGGGGTAGGCAAGTCAAATATTCCTCAATGTGCCCAATTTATGTGGTTAGCTCAACCTGTTCAAAATAGTAAACTGTTCAGGGTTTGATATGAGAATGCAACTGAGCTGTCAAAATTTAGCATTGCTTTAGAAGTAATGAACACATGCTTACCCCTCCTTAGAAACTTGACAAACAAAATTATAAAAAGATGTATGATAAGAAAAACACATTTCTAACTAGACTTTTGTTTTGTCTGGTTGTCTGATGATACATCCCAATTCGCCTTAATGAGAACAGTTTACAAATGGACATGGAAAGGATATGAATTACATGTATTCATATGTGTGTATTGGCCATGGACCTGGTAGGTCTATTAACTGAAAGGGCATCATTAGGTTGTCACATTTTGTGTAACCTCTTTATAAGCTTAATATTTTAGGACCAAAGTTGCTTATAATAGCAACAGGAACACAAAAGGCTCCTGCACTGCTATTATATTCCCCCTTAGTTTTCATGGACATGTCTGCATTTTCTCTTCAAGCAGCTCACCTTTTTTCATCACCACTATAAGCCTGTCTTTTCTTCCTCCTCCATTTCTCTGACACACTAGACTCCTGTTCCACATAGCTAGAGCCAGCTTCAGCTCCTTTCCAAGGTAAGTTAGTTCAATAGCAGCTGTTAGACATTTAAGCTAAAGATTCCTCAGCGTATCTTTTGTCACTCATTTCTCAGCACCACCATCCACGATGACAACATGACAAACTTGGGAGTCAAGGGGCCAGATTTCAGCTGGTGTAAATTTTAAGTTATGCTGAGGATATGGGCTAAGGATGTTTTGGCAGCAAGGGTGGAAATGTTGTCACTATCACTTCCATGTCATGGTGATAAGAGAATGGCCTAAGAGATTCATTTTTTTATATAGCTTATGGTACAATGTTTTTCTGTTGTACTACACAGAGAAGAAGGTGCTAAAAACAGGTTGGCAGTAGAGCAGCTTTAGGCAGATTTAGTTCCAAACAGAAGTTGACTGTAGATCAGACATGCTGCAGGAAAAGAAGTAAAGGTATTTTCTACCCAATCAAGTCACATATGATATCTGTAGTTTATAATATTGTAAACATAAATGGCCACCTTATGGCCAAAGAGCAATGATATATTTGGACTAATGTAATTGGGGCAGGGATGAACACTTTGAGTCCATATCTTATTGCTATACAGCAAACTTGTTTGGCATATACAAAATGTTTTTTCCTAGTTTGGTAGGGATTTAATCTACAGTCCACTAAAATCAATGAGAGCCTTTCCATTGATTTCAGTGGGTCTGGACTGGACTGAATTCAATGGATGACTTGAATCCAGGAAGAAAGTATGTAAAAACAATGTTTTAGCTATAAAAAATAATGGACGAAATTTGTTCTCATTTACATGCTCACAGCAGAATCTGCTTTTTTGTGTGTGTTAGTTCTTTTGCTTCAAATTCTCTCTCTCTCTCTCTCTCTCTCTCTTTGGAAAGGAAAAAAAAAACTGTGCAAAATGAGAGGGTAGATGGCCATGGGAGTCTATATATTGCCTATGCATCTGTCAGGAAGTGCAGGCTTCCTGTAGCACTTTATTCAGTATTGCTATGATACCTGAAGGCAGCTCTGGGTGAATATAACTTCCTGTGTTGCTCGTATGAGACTGTGACATGAATCAGGCTATTAGTTACTCATACAAGGAACTAAGGAATTTGACATTTGTAGAGAGGGTTTGAGTTCTACAGATATTGGTTAAGTCTTCTTATTCCAACATTATACCTCAAAACAGCTATGGGCTATTTTGTTGGTTTAGTGGCTTGTGAACTAAAAATTCTCATTTCAAGAGGGTCAGAATAGGAGGGTGATATCATTTGTACTGTGTAATTAAAAAGCTTCCCAGTGACCTGGAAGGGGCAACTCTACATAATTAGGCATTTGTTTGAGGTAACTTAGTACAGGTGAGCAGTATTGCGGTTAAGGGAGTTGACTAAAATGAGATTATATCCTAAGAACTTCAATTCCCATTTTTTAAAATTAAAACTAAAAGGTTCTTTGAGAACTCATTCCATGATACTGTCCTCAACAAACAGTACATTTCCCCACAGAAACATGGCACGTGAATAATTCAGCTTTCAACTTTATTTACTACTACTGGGTCCAATTTGCAGCTGCTAGTGAGAGGCCAGAGAAGGAAAATATTAAAAAGACAAAACAACTCCAGAAATCAGACTGCAAAGGATGGAGCTGTTTAGATCAAGAGATATGCAGAGACAGATCTGCTTCCACAGAACTGAGACTGTCCTTTCCTTAGGGTCTTGATCATAATCCTTGCTTGAAAGATAAAGTGAAGCTGGGGTGATCTCTCCAGGGTGCAAAAGCCTGGGCAGTATATATGGAGACAGTGAGCTGCCCACTCACCAGTGTTCCCCTCTTAGCCTTGCTGGTTTAATCTAAAGGAAAAGCAGATTAGGCTCCTAAGGATTTGGGGTTTAGCAGGCCTTCACCCTTGTTTTGAGCCTGGCATACCAATCAGGAAAGGCAAGCATAAGAGGAAGGGAGGGAGAGGCAAACTGCAGAACTGCCCTGTCATTAGCACATCTTCTGCTCATGTCTCTGCAGAAGCCAGTCATTTGGGCCACTCTGACTCACAGTGCTAAGACTAGGAACCCTGTTCTGAGTTAAAGCTCAAAACTTGATGCAAATTTTGCTCAGGTATGAATAGGGATCTAAAATATGTCATGTGAAACACCCCCTTACTGATTCAACCCATTGCTTTTTACAAATTCATGGGCACTATAAGAAACTGCCTGGTAAATGTATGATTAGAATATCTATAAAATTTAGTATAATCGTGTAATTTATTGCAGGCTTCTCTTAACCCAGTAAATTTCAAGTACCAATCATTAGCAGAGAGACTGAATTTTACTTAAGTCAGAAAATTTGTAGATTGACAGTCTAGACCTTACTCATATCAAAACACTATACACTGATAGAGGTCTATAGCATCAGCATGAATTCCTCTGTATTTGTTGTTCCAGTCAGATATTCAGTATTACATAAGAATGATGGTTTAATAATACTTACAAGTTCTATAGTGCCCAATCTTAAGAGCTCTGATAAGTAAGTTGTAAAAATAACTGAATCTCATAGGGGTTAATAAGAAACACTAAGAGACTACTTTACCCACCATGGAAAAGCAGGCCCTTCTTTGATGGAACAGTGTGTGTTTGACAGCACATGGCAACACAATACAGCCATCTCATAGTGTTTGCATCTCCTATTGAAACAGCTGAGGAAATCTTAATAAGTGACAATGTAATTATCTAATCTAGAATTTAGTCACCCTTGCTCTTTTGAAAAGCAGCATAAACCCTCCCGTGACCAAAAATAATCAGGCCACCTTATTCAAATGGCCATACCTTAAAAATGACCCTTCCCAGACATTTATTCAGCACTGCTTGGAAGGGCAGAGTGCCACCTGCCAGCTCACCAATTGTATTTTCTTCCTGCTTAGCTCTGCCAAAACAGGCTACAGGTTGATTAGGAGAGCACTTAATGTACAGTAAAGTTATGCAGCAAACAGATCACATTACCTTTGCTTTTCTATCTAACTTCTTTAGCCAAAAAATGTCACTGTCAGCTGGTGTGGGCATTTACAATATCCATACTTTGCATAGCCGTCACTGGAAACTTTTATCAAGCTGTTTATGATGTCTTCTGATTAAAATAGGCTCACCAACATCCCACGCTGTAGACTCTTCACAGAATGCCACTGTCAAGGGAAATTGTCCCCACAAGCCTCGCTGGCAGATATTCAAAGCAAAACAAGCATGAGCCATAATGGGTCTCTTCCTCTTCCGACTAAGAACTAATTTTGATATTACCTTCCTGACGTTCTGACATCTTTCCCTTTCTTTTTATAGTGCAAGATTAGTAAATTAGTAAAATATTACACAGGTCTGTAGTGGTCAAAAAAATTCAGGTTTCACTAGAAATGCCACAGAAACTTAGACTTTTAGAATGCTATGGGTACAGACATTCTCAATAATCTTTGCTGTGCTACCATGCTGGATTATATCCAGCTTTAAATTGACTCTCCCTCTTGCAACTCATCCAATCCCTGTCCATCTGCCAAGGCCTCACACAAGCAATTCCAACCAAGCAACCTAGCTCAGACCTCTGATGCTGCTATTTTTCCTGTTGACACATTTGTGTCTTTTTCCCACTCATGCATCCTTCAATTTACCACCAGAGTATGAGGAATTGCATAAATCCAGTAGTTGTAATGTATCATACAAATGTGATTTCCCCTCCTGAGGTCAGATATAAATTCTTGGTTTAACAAACTGTCAAAAGTCTTGGTTTTAAGCCTTTTATACCTGAATTATTAATAATGATGACAATTGTACCTATATGCTACAGCTAGAGAAGTCCAAGCTATTTAAAAACATTAGTTAATTCTCACAATGTCCTATTTCCATTTTACATGTGGATAACACAAAGCAGAGAGAAGATATCAGTAACTTGTCCATGACCATATAGTAAATAAGTGGCAAGCCAGTTGCCTCCCAAAGAGCCTAGCATTTCACTACCATCCTCTCTTCCCTAGACTTATGTTGCATAAAGAATAATGTTTGATAAAACTTAATTGAAATATGTCATCCCAAATCTTTTACACCCAATAGTTTTACAAGGATCATCATCCCAGGTTGGGCTGGGGAAATAAGCAGCCAAAAATGGTGATGGAGGAGGGGAGAGGGAGAAAGAAAAGGAACAAACTAAAGTGGAACATAGTAAAATGACTGTGCAGAGATCGTGTTACATGAAAACTAAACTTGGAAAATGGTTGCTCTTTGGGAGACTATCTAATACATCTCCTTAGATCTTTTTTCAGTGCTGAATGCCATGTCCTTTGTAGTAGAGAACCGACAGTACTCAGCTGTGCTAGATATTGAGACTGCTGCACAGATGTGGAACCTGTTGTTCTCTTTGGATATTTGGCTTCACCTCTTACTCACCCCTTTTATTTAATTCTGGGTATGTCTACACATGCAATTAATGCAACTGAATAAACTCCAGTGCAATTTGAGCTAGAGTAAACTAATCCTGATGTCACCATCTACATGTTTGTTTAAGTGAAGTAATTCACTCCACTGCCAGATAGTATCTGAGTCTGACAGGACTATTCAACAGCACTGTAAATTAGTCTACACCATCCCAATTGCTGTACATGTGTACAGGGTAATGCTTTACTGTGCAGTAAATTAGTTTACAGTGTGATAAAGCACATGTGTAGATACCTCATCTGTACAGTCCTGGGCTTCGCAATCATGTCCTCAGTGACTTGTCCAAGGTTTTACAGTGAGTCCAGCTAGTAATAGAACCCAGCACCTATGTTACTCCTCATTTCAGTAACCAAAAAATGCTAAAAATATGGGAAATGTTTTTTTCAGATCACACCATCCAATCTGTTTTCTGCTGCTGCTGCTGCTGCTGTTCAGTGCAAAAAAGGTAAATCAAATACGTTATCTTCCCACTAATCAAAAGCTATATGCCTTGCAAAATAATTACATATAAACCCTCATTTTTTGGTAGATCTGCTGAAACTTGAAAAACATGGATGCATTTCCCCTTCCCACAGCTAATCTGAATTTTGGTATATATATTCACATAAACACTGTGTTTGTCTTTCAAAATTAGAGCGGTGAGAACAAAATTGAGTCTGGATTGTGATACCTCACAACAACTCTCCTATGCATCTACCCAGAAGTACAGAGTAAGTAATATTTAATGGACAAAGGAAACTGAAGTATAAAGAGGTTAAGTGTGTAGTCCAAAGCCATATAGTGAATCAATGCAGTGCAGACGATGGGGTAACTAAATCCCTACCAAGTCTTTTGAAGTTGTGGTGCTGCAGATTTTATATAAGCACTCTAAACAGCATTTTATCATGATTTAGAAGTAATGCATTTTCTCAGATAGGAAAGGACTGATTATAGCATCACTTTCATTTGGCCTGATGCTATTGACTTCGATAGCACATCTTCCTGTTTACAGTGTGTAAATGAGCACAAAACCTGGCCTTCAGTCCATGCAAAAGAAAGTTTTATATTTATATTGATATGTTGGGAATGTATGTAATTTTCTTACACTTGCTATGTGTCCTCAGATAAATGGCCAGATTCCACACTAGTTTAACTTCATTGGCTTCAATGGAGCTATGTTGATTTACATCAGTTCAGCTGAGCTGTTCTGTCCTGTCCTGTCTCTAGAACCCATGCTACCACATTCATATGACTTCAAGCACATTTGTGGGGGGAAGTAATCTATTTTGGCCCCTGTGTGTTTGCCTTTCCAATGAAACTTTGGTTTGTGTAAGTTACTGACGTGTTACCAGTACTCTGTTGACTTTTTGCAAGCGCAGATGATCAGGTGATAGCGCTATGCAGAAAGAGAGAACCACCATGATCAGTTCCTTTTAGTGTAATAAAAAAGGAAATAATAACAATAATAATATAAAATGAGCAACACAGAAAGAAACTTTACCCAAGAGTAATACTTTGTTCTCTTGATAGCAAAACAGAGAGTGTGTTCAGCAATCCAAGAGGAAGCCACTGCCTCCACTACCTCCCCAGGCTTCAGAAGAACACAAAGAGAACATCACAGTCATTGCACTCTATGACTTTTTTGCCAAAGGACCCTCTAACTTGGCACTCAAGAAGTCAGAAGAATACATTATCCTTGAGAAGTATGATCCACACTGGTGGAAGGCAAGAGACCAAAATGGGTGAGAAAGAAGGCATATTCTGCCTCAGCTATATCAATGAATTTCCTCCAAGAAAAAAAATAACACAGACATGCAGATAGTTTAGGATCAGATTTTAACGTTTACTTCCCAGTTGGGCACATATATGAAGTGGGCAGATATTAAAAAATGCCCAGCATACAGCAAATCTCACTGACAATAATAGGAATCGAGGCTCTGACATACAGACACACTCCATGATAAACAAAAGAAATATATGGTATTTTGAAAGCAACGTGGATTGTTGGGTGGTAAGTTCCTTTGAAAATCGGGTCCTTATTGCTTGGTTTACGGAGCATTTTACAATGCAGTAAGTCAGAAGTACATGCTTGCGTGCAAGCAAAATTTTATCCGGTTAAACAAGGCATGTAAACCAGTAAAACTTCTTAGTGATAGAAGTCAATGTCCTTTAAAAAGTTGAGATCTGAACTTCACTTATGGTCCTCCCCTCATGACTCTGTGTCCCCTGACTCTACATGTCTTCTCCCTCATTATGTCTGGAATAATTGACAAGATTTTGCATATCAAATGACTGCTTTTTATTCAAATCTCTCCTTTAAATACACTGTCTCCATTCAATCTTGCATTGATAACCCACACAATAGATATAGATTAATGTTTATTTTGAGTTTATGGGAAATTTCTTTCTTGCTTTTTTTTTCCTCGAAGTTTGATTTTGTTTTGAATTGGACCAAACCAAAAACATTTCAAAATTTCTTGTCATAAGGAAGGTTGCCAGGCTCTTCAGTGCAATTGCCACTGACAGACTCCCCAGCAGAGTGGCCATTTTTAAGTGCAGGGACACTGATACACAAGACCGAGAAGGTTGCTGGAGTGTGGTAATTTCGGTGCTCCAGCAGACTCCATTAATCAAGTCTGCTCCAAAGCGCTGGAATTCTAGGATGTTGGAGCAGCCTCAGTGTTTGTGTATAGGTGCCCATTCTGCAAAAGCTCTTCAAACAAAATATTTTGGGTACAACATATCTGCATCTTCTGATGAAACTGCTGGCCAAATCTATTAGACATTCATGTAATGTCTTGTGTGTCTGAATTGCAGCCTGTCTAAATTAGGTTGAAGTCTCTTGGGGTGCATACAGACATTTGGGGAGGTTAAGGAGAGATTAAATTGAATTAAAAATGGTCACCCACTCAAAGATAAATTGGGATGGATGAGGTTAGTGGGGGGAGGCTTGTGGCAGTTTCGGGGGCAGGCAGTCTCCGGGGATGGATTGGGGGGAGGGACAGGCAGCATTTGCAGGGGAGATCAGGGGACAAACTGGGTCCCTGGTGGGATCAGGTGGACAAGTGAGGTCCATGGGGGGATTGGCGGGATCCACAGGAGGAACCGGGGGTGGGGGGCGGATTGGCAGGGCTAGCAGAGTCCCCAGGGTCCACAAGGGTTTGGTGGTATCTGGAAGGGTTTAGCAGGATATGGGGGACTTGCTAGGTCCATAGGAGAGCTTAGAGGCATGGGGGGGCTCTCTCTGCCATCCCCAGGGACAAGGGCCTATTTTTAGCCTCCTGACCCTCCCTATCCCCAAACAAACAGCTCCCCCATTAACTGATCTCCCCCATTCTGCCCGCTCCTCCCCCCACCCCAACTTACTTTCTCAGCTCCCAACTTACTTCCTTGGCTTCCTCAGCAAATACTGGTAAAACCAGCACCAGGAGCAGCTTGTGGAATCAGGGAGTTTGGTGGGCTTGGGGGTGGGAGTAGCTGATTTGTGGGGGGGATGGGGGGCCAGGTGAGGTCTAAAAATAGCCTGGTGCAAGGGGAGTGGGTTGGGAAAGTGCAGGCCTAGGGCTGAGGCCACCAGCTAGATTTTCTCAGCCTCAGGGATGTACTAGGGACTGTACAGTTAAGTTAGGTTGGTCTCTCTGGACCCAATCTAAGTTAGGCTACCTCAGAGGTACTTTTAACTTGGATCACACCAGCTATTTTTAGATCAATCTAACTGTCCTGAACTTCTGTACAGTGCACACTTAGGTCCACCTAACTTGGGATCTAAGTGTAAGGTCAGTACCTGGGCAAACTAAGTTAGATTGGGTAGCCATTTTTAATATGATCTAAGCTCCTCCTAACTTCCCTGAATGTCTGTATGTATCTTTGGAGTATAGACCATATCTTCCTCTACAAATTATATAGAGATGAGCATAACAGTGGTCAATAAATAATCATCCTGGGAGAAGGTAACTGGCTCATTTAGAAGGTGGGATTAAAATAACTGGTGATAACCTGGCTAAATATCAATGCAACACTGAAAATCAAAGGTGTAAACCAAAGTCTGTCCTCTAGAATTGGTGATGAAACATCACAAGTACCCATTTCCTATGTTTCATATTACAGGGAATGATTCCTGCAAATAGGGCTTATCAGCATCTGCCATTCAAATAAAAAATCACCAGTTGTAAAGAAGAACTCGGGGATCTTCTTTCATGACAATCTGAATTTATAGAAACAGAACTTATACATAACATGTGGGTGGTAAACCCTCTCCCATTAGGGTAGTTTCTAGCTATGTTTCCAAGTATTACTCTTGTCTTTTCTACATTGTGAAAATGTGAATGAGAACTGGAAATTGAAACTTGAACTTTGTCTATTTACAGCTATTTTCCTGTTGTATATCTGCAGGATCATTTCATAGGCTAGTTTAAAGTAGTCTAGAAACTGATTCAATCTTGTTAATTGTTTTCACTAGGAAATGCATCTAATTTCCTAGAAAAAATCTTTTGAAAAAACCTGAATCCTCAAATATCTTTTAGTTAGATTGCCCAGTTTGAACCTCTGAAAACAGAGTGCAAACTATGCCTGTGCTCAATGAATCCCATTAAATACTTTACATCGTATTATATCATCATCTTTTGGTTGTATTTATTTTAGGAATGAAGGCCTAATTCCCAGCAATTATGTAACTGAGAACAAGAGAAGTAATTTAGAAGCATATGAGTAAGTATACCTAGAATGTTTATTACACCTCCTTTCTGAATGGTTTAGATTGGTTAGGGTCCATAGGCTAGTGCTGTTACACTCTGCTCTTTTCCTGTTGTATATATATAAACCACTATCCAAGCAGACTTTTCAAAATACTTCCTATTTTGGAGTCATTTGCTGATGAAGAGAAACATTCCCAAATATTTCAGCTAGAGATGGACTATTACAGGACTACTTATTTTACACACTAGCCAGTCAACTATGAACATATCCATTTATTGAAGGTGGGACATGTGGCCCTGTAACAACTTATGGTATTGACATGAGAACACAGTTCCTTGTGCTATTATTGGCAGGATTTTAAAAAATAAAATGTGTATATTGGACAGGCTGTGAAATAGGCACAAGGAAAGGCAATTAAGTGATGGTATTTAACTGACAGTAAGGGGCAAAATTAAAGTTGGTGCTGGGATTTTAAGTATTTTCAGTCTGGCATTCAGACTTTTTTGAACTACAAATCTTTAATGTCTTCATTTTTCAACATTTTTAATCAGTAGCTCTGAATTTCCTCACTCACAGATTTTTCTACATTAATTATAACTGCAGATATCTAATCAAATGGCTTGTAAGTAAGCAGCTGTTAATTTTAACTTTAACAGCCTATTAGCTAAGTTTTTGGTTTAAGAATGTTATAATGATTCTGATGTGGCACTTAAATGGTGTGAATCTCTATTATTTTATTAAGACAACCTTGAAATCAAACACATAAATCAACTCTCTTCTTGGGTATTTATTACAGGTGGTATTTAAAAAATATAAACAGAAATCAGGCAGAAGAACTACTACGGCAGAAGGTAATTTGGTCAATGTATAAATATAAATTACCAGTAATCTGAATGTGATCCTGTCAGTATGATGAGAGGCATGTACATTTCAACAATCAAATCTAAAGCTGTTCTACATGTTTTAGGACAGAGTGCTTTAAAATTAAGGAATGGCTTGGTAATGTAAGTACCAGACGTGAAATATCTTGACTACTGAGAGCTCGAAGTTGATAACTCAGCAGATTCTTTCTAGGTTTTCCATTTTCTACATTAGAAGACCTGAGTTCCATGCAGTTTACTGGGTGTGCCTTTTGGAGGAGATGCCAAAAGGCTGTAATCTATTTGTTGTATTTAAACATTAAAATCCTATTTATATTTTTATTAGTGTAGTGGTCTGCTTAGTGCCCTTAACTAAAATATCTGTTTCCCTTGCTATCATGCACCATGCTGTGCTCCTGCTCACAGACTTTTATTGGTGGTACATTAATATTTTTTGTGAAGCAATGGGGATCCCTACAAAAAGTGCGATGTTAGAATTTAACAAAATGGTACCTTTGTTCATGACTTCAGATTATTACTATTATACAGTGAATTAGCAGAGCTTTTCTCAGAATTGGACATGACAGAATTTTGTACTTCAAGCACACAAAAATACAGAGAATCACTGATGTTAGTGAAGAATAGTTTATATATAATCCACTCCATCTCCCTGTTTTACAGTATTTTCAAAGGACTTTCATGGACTAACGTTTAAATGATTCTAAGATACAGTTTCACCGCTTTCATAATCCAATATATTTAACTCCAAGATATTTTTATGAGATGTTTTCTCCCTGGCATTGCAATCCTTCAAATATGTATAGGTTTGTATGACAAACTAAACTATACAAACTATAGATGGAAACCTCACCTATATTGGTGCAACAGAGTGAAACATAATTATATTATTCCATTTTAAGAGTCACTAGTTACTATTCTTTTGTTTTCTTTGGTTCCTTTATCAGATATTCCACAGAATTTCATAATGAATTGAATATCACATTGCATGTAAGTTTTCTGTCAAGCTCAAAAGAAAAGATAAACTAAATCTGAATTTTTTTCAGTCCAAGGAAGGTGCATTTACTGTCAGAGATTCAAGCCAACAGGGAGCCCTTACACTGTCTGTATATTCACGACCTAGAGGGTAAGTGATTGCTGATTAGGAATTCAGATAAGGTCATGAAAGGATGTCTTATTTAAAATTCTTTGTGAGAAGCTGCTTGGTTCGTGCCCTGGCCATGTGCACTATGTGATACTGTATAGCAGGGCTGTCTGGCCTGTGGATTGCATGAGGCCTGTGAGGGGCTTCCACCCAACCACTGTTCCCCATATTGCTCTGACTGAAGCGGTAGCCAGGAGCTCCAGGCTGTCTCCCTGGGTTCCCCTTTCTGTGCCTGCCCTAGGTGGTGGCATGGCACAGTGAAGCCTGTGGTGCAGTGAGGGAACCCTTGGTCAGTGAGCTGAGGTGGAGGAACAGCTCCTAGATCAGGGGGCAGCTCTAACTTGGGAAAAGCTGTCCTGCAGTTCTGAATGTTTTTTAAATGGGATTTTGCTGCAATTTAAATGTTTTATGGCAGAAAACCACATACCCTTTTCCTAGTGCACCAGGCAGCTCTGTAGTGAGACATCATCTGCTCTTCATATTTAATATCCTGTTCTAGAATATATATAGTCACTTTAGTGCTGTATCATATCCTTAGCTGCTTCTCCTTTATCATCTAGAAAGTCAAAATGTTCTAGTAACGGTACAGACTTGTTGTAAAATGATGGTTCGGTCTGGGAAGAGGAGCAGAATATATTGTTTTCTACCTTGTCATTCTTAAAAGCTCAGCTATTTCTTTTCTTTTCTTTTCTTTTTTTTTGGTTTGTTTGTTTTATGCGTTTCTTTAGCTGTGCAACCCTAGACTATACCCCCAGAGTGGAAAGAGAGATTCAGAGAAAGATGATTTTTTTATTTAAACATTAGCTCAACCATAATTCAGCCAATCAGTTTTCAAAGTATATTCCCATTCCAAATATTATTTAATCAGACAGTGTTGTATTATACAAATCTGGTTTATGTTTTAAGTAACCAATGTTTTGTCAATTTCAGAAGCCAAAACGGAGATATCCGACATTATCAAATTAAGAAAGACCATTCAGGAAAGTATTATGTAGCAAAAGAGTATCTTTTTTCAACTATTCCTGAACTTGTCCAGTATCACCAGCATAATGCAGCAGGTCAGTACATAAAAAACAATAAGAATCTACTGTGAACATTTGCACTTCATTGCAGATATGATTTTGACAACTTAGAAATAACTCTTCTGTAATCAAATTCTCTCTTTATTAAGAGCCATAGTTTTTTGAATTGCTGAGAAGTTCAAATATTTAGCAATCCTTTGTACCAAATCAATATATTTGTACCACACTCAAATTGGGAATGATATGAGCCAATCAAACGTATATAAAATGAATTCTCAAAAGGAACAGGAAATTAGGGTTTTTTGTGGTATCTTTTATTGAACTGACAGCATAGTTGGGAGGGGTTTGATAAGCTTTCCAGCACACACTGCTTTTCCTCAGATCTCAAGGAGAAGCAGATATAAGTTGAGCTAATTAGCAGATAGAACAAAAACATATTATTCCATATGTAAATGAAAACAGTTTGCTTAAATAGAGGAGGGCTGTAAACTAGGAGGGAAGAGATATCAGTAGAACAGGGCATCTAATTAGTGGAAGAGCAATATCAAAAGGTAAAAGGCACTAGCCTTTTAGTTATACAGCTCAGTCTGGGGTTATTTTGGAATAATCTTTTGATTAATAAACAAGAAACCAGAGGAAGTGACATTTTTGGTTCTATGGCTGTGCAGCTTTTGGAGTGTCTGACAGAGTTGTGAATGAGATGTGATATAATAGGCTGGAGATTCAGGCTCAAAAGGCACTATAAAAGGTACTGTAAAAGTGCCACAATAATAATACTGATCCCCTAAAACACAAAATTATAAATCTGAAAAGAAGTCCCTCTGAAAAGGGACTGCCTCCTACTACATTTTTGTATAGTGACTGGCTTTGATTTCTGCTGGGGCCTTGAGATACTACTGTCATCCTAATATCTGATTTCTAATAGAAATAAGAGCAAACAAAAAAAAATTCTACATTTTTTTGTGTGGAAACTATAGCATTTGTCCTCTAAGGGTTAAATTGTCTGTCAGAACTGGAAAATGCCAGAGTTTCCACTCTACCCAGCAAGGTATTGATTATGCTCTTCTTCAATTTTCCTTATTCCCAAGGACACATCTGAAAGACCCACAAATAATACAGAACAAAGGCACTTTGAATGAATAAGAAATGTGGGGTTGGACACCAAAGATATGTTTAGGTGTAGGAATCTAATATGGAGACAGAGTGAAGGAGCTTATTGGTCTAAGGAATATTGCCATTCTGATTCCTGTAGGTCTCATCACACGCCTCCGATATCCAGTTGGAATAGTGGGAAACTGTTTACCAGCAACTGCAGGATTTGGTTATGGTAAAGTTTAAGGTTTTGTATTGGTAGATTTAGGTCTCTCTAGGATTTTAAACCATGTCCATCCTGTTGGCAATTGAGAAATTATCTCTGTAATAATGAATATATGCATGTGCATATTCGAATGAATGGTCACATTCATTCTTTCATTCATATTTCTACCATTGCGTCTCTGCAGTGGCATAACTTGTGAGGGGCAACCATCCCAGACACTGACTGGGGGAGAGTTGGGGCAACTGCACATTTGCAATTGAGCTTTGCCCCAGATGCCTAGCTGCATCCCCACTCTGTTGCTTCTACATTTTCTCACATTTTATGAAAAAAGGCCTGAGACTCAAGTTTATGTTCCAGATAATTAGAATTGGTTTGAAAGTATATACAATTTTGATTAATATCATTTGTAATCATGATTGTCTTTGCCCACCATGCAACTTTAAGTAATAAGAATGACATTTCACAGAGCATCAAAAATCAATACAAAGAATTTTGGTTTATATACCTGTAGGATCATCTGCCTGTCCTCCTTGTGCATGTGGGCAGCACCAGCATTATCAATATTTTATACAAAAATGACTTCTGCAAGGCAGAATTATTGTAGGTGGCAAAACAGAGAATGCCAGTTAGTCTTTAGGGAGTTTATACATGTGTTCTGGGAGGTGGGAGGAGCACTCTAATTAAAGCACCCTAAGTATCATGTGTATCAGTGACCCTGCGCTGAAAAATGGCAGCAAGGTGCTTTAACTAAAGCTCCGCTGTTTTTCAGTTCAGGGATGCTGATACACATGATGCTGGAGCCAATTAATTGAAGAAGTGATAGACATCACATATGGTAATGATTCAAGGTGTGGTAAATAACTAGATAACTGTCCTACCTTCAGGCCCCAAGC